TGTTACTGTTATTGTCAGTTCTTTAATTATTATTTTTGTGGAACTTTTGTCTTTGATAAGGGATTTAAATGTGGTAAAATTTAAGTGGAGTATTATATGCATCTTCTTATAGCGGGAAACTTCAGGGCACAGAAATCTTGTAGTGTATGCCTCTAAGTGCCGTTAATTCTCCTGCATTTTCCTATTTAAAATGAAGGCACAGGTTCATTATGCTTGATAGTATGCTCGATTTGCGAATCATAATTCAAGTAACGGTTGTAACATTTCTTTATTAATGGTTGAGGAAGTTGTTACTTTATTTGAAGGATTTCCTTATACCCCACGGTTGTTTGCTATAAAGGATTTTCATGCTCTTGTACGATTCAACTGTAGCTTTCACCCGAGATGTCGGAGTTCCTTCTTTTTTTAATTTACTGTGTAGTGGTTTAATGACTGTCTTTTTATAGGTCTGTCTCATTACAATCATCGTATATTTTGTCATTCTCTGACTTCTCTGCGGATTTTAGTGTTTCTGCTCAGTACTTTATTGGTGAGTTTAGCGCTTATATAATTTGGGGTCAGAGAGTGTTTTTCGGAGGTTCTCGGTTTTGCGAATTAAGATTTCCCACTTATAAAGTCCGTACTATTTGGCTGACCATTTTTTTTTGCAGAGGTTTCTGCGTATTATGATAATCACTCAGACTTGATGTCGCGAAATGTCGAATTTTTTATTTTTAACGTTTGTCTTGTTATAGAAATGTTTCAGGTTTATGCTTGTTCGCTCTTCGCAGACTGCAAGAGCGTAGTAGTGTAGCAAAATTTCGGGTTCAAAATCAGGAACGCGCAAAAGGTAATTTTCTTTTTCCTGAGAGTAAGTTCTTGAGTTTTCATTGCAAGTGCGTTGCAGCTGAAGATTCATTTTGCAGTTATGCTTACATGAATTTTTATTGTTAGCTGTTCACTCGTTAAAACGCTGTTGGGCACCTCTCATCTTTCAGTTTTCCTTACCTGACTCTGCTGGTCTCATTTTTAGCGCTGCAAAACGTAGGCGAGACGAAGAAGACACAACATCGATCTGCGACGAGGAGGATAGTCACAGCCGTACGGGACTTACGATGGTGGCAGTACCTAAAGGTTTTATATTATTCACTGACTTCCGCTTTTATTGTTTCTTTGTCTACTCAAAGTTTTTAGGCAAAGAGAAGGATGCTGAGTATGTCGCTCCAAAATCTCAGAAACTTGTAGATTTGGATGACGAAACAGCGGATGGGCGCGCGAATGAAGTAGTGCTTGAAGTAAAAATTAGAGCCGTTTTTCAAATTTTCACAATATACATAGTTTCGGTTTTAGGAAGGTAACGTTATTGAACAAACACACTACATTATAGTACCATCTTACGCCTCATGGTTTGATTATAATGCTATACATCAAATTGAAAAACGTGGAGTCCCAGAATTTTTCAACGGAAGAAATAAGAGCAAGACGCCCGAAGTGTATGTGGAAGCGTAGTCTCTTTTAATTTTGGCAATTGTCATTTGGATGGATATTCAGTTATATTGAGGATAGGAATGGCAAAGATGATAATATAACGACATTCTTGTCATTGCTGCTATTATTACTGTTTTTACTGTTACTATTATTCTTTTTTTTTGCATCGAGTTATTCCAGGTACATGGCATACAGAAACTTTATGATTGATACCTACCGTTTAAATCCGTTTGAATATTTATCTTCGACTGCCTGTCGACGTAATCTCGGTGGTGATGTATGTGCCATATTAAGGTGCGATGCTGAACATCTGGAACATTTTTGTGACTTACTTGATAGTGTGTCTACCATCAAACAGTTTTTCAGAGTTCATTCTTTTCTGGAGCAATGGGGTTTGATCAATTATCAAGTTGATTCTGAGTTCCGTCCAGCTCCTGTAGCACCCCCGTGCACTTCTCATTTTATGATTTTGGCAGATACTCCAATGGGATTGCAACCAATTCAGCCGTCCTCTAATTTGCCTCAGGTGGTCTCCTCTCTTTCTAGTTTTCGAGGCTTTTTATTGTAACAGTTTTCGAAAAACAGCAGGACAATTGACAGTGTTTCTATTCAT